AAGTCCCAAGTAGTTAGGACAAAGTCTCTCTTCTCTTTAGGTCTTACCTTATATCCTATAAGCTTTCAAGGACCTGGGCTCACCTTTAGCTGGCTTGCCAGCCCCTGGCAGTGATGGTACCAGGGCCAGGGAAACCCAAGTAGGCCTCTGGATGACACACAGATGTTACTGGGCACACACTACCCAGGATCCATCACATCATGTGGGACTGGCAGTAACTGGTGAGGCAGGTCAAGGGATTAAGAAGTGGACAGTGGTCCGCCAGCGCCAGTGACCCGCAGAAGAATTTGCTACTTGGGGAGCAAGAGCCTTTATGGTGGCCTCTAAAGTGGCAATATTGAAATGCTTCCTTAATACTGAAAATTTCAGGGGGCTTCCCCGGTGGCGCAAGGGGTTAAGTCGCAGCACTATGAAGCTATCTGCAGCCACTGCAATGAGAGTTCGATCCCAGGCCAGGGAGGTGACCCACATGCACAGCAGACCTCTCCTGTCTCGCCTGCTGCTCCCCTCAGCAGTGTATTTCAGTCAATCCACCGGTTCTGCCCCACTCAGTCTCGGGTGATCCTCTCATCCCGCGCACCACTGGCCTGTATCCCAGTTTTTGTATAAATAAATAAATAAATCTTTTAAAAAATACTGCACATTTCAGGGTCTGCTTTTCTGCAGCAAGAATATGGATGTGTAGGGTCTCATTGCCTGTGAGCCTTTGAACCCTGACTCTGTCACATCTTTGGATCAGATGGTGCTCTAGTTCTGCCTGTCCAGCTTCTGGTCACCTCTGCTTCTTGAGTTTGTCTCTACATCCTGTTCCACGTGGGGAGTAAAGCTGCCCCTACGTGGCTGGGTAGGGTCTGACCGGCTCCATTGTTAATCACCCCATGCATCTGGCTTCGGTCCAAACTTTGTTTTTCCTTTTTGCTACTATGGGGCATGAAATTTAAAAATCTAATCATAAAATTGATGTTTGTTCAAAAGACCACACATTATAAGACTCCACTTATATAACATGTCCAAAATGGAGAAATCCAGAAACAGAAAGCAGATTCGTGGTTGCCAGGGCCTAGGGGAGGGGGAGAGGGGGGCTGCTAATGGGAACAAGGTTTCTTTGGGGGGTGATGAAATATTCTGGAATTATGTAGTGAAGATGGTTGCACAATCTTGTGAGTATATTAAAAACCACTAGATTGTACCCTTTAAACTGGTGAATTTTATGGCATGTGAATTATGCCTATCAAAAACTCAGTGCTTGTTCATTGTAGAGATGTTTAAAAGCAAAATAAAAGAAATTTAAGTTACCTGTAAGTCTAAGTAACAAATAGTAACATTTTGATGTATATATGGCAATTTTTTGTGGTTGTTGTTTTGTGTGTGTTTTATTTTTTTTTTCTTTAGGTTGGTTACTAACCCCCTTTAGAGTTGGGAGAAACCCCATTGGGATTTGCTGAAAGATGGTTTCTCACTTGCCCTCTTTCCAGGTTCACATATGTACCCCTTGCATTTTGCTTATACTTTTTTAATTTTTATTTTTTAAAAGATTTATTTATTTATGCATGCAAGAGCTGGGGTACAGGCCAGAGATGTGGGGTGGGGGGTGAGAGGATTCACCAGAGTGGGGAACAGAACAGGCAGACTGACTGAAGTACACTGCTGAGGGGAGCAGCGGGTGAGTCAGGAGAGGTCTGCTGCACCATGTGGGTTGCTCCCTGGCTGGCCAGGGATCAAACTCATGCTGCAGAGGCTGTGGATTGCTTCATAGTGCAGTGCTTAACCCTTTGTGCCACCAGGGAGTCCTTGCTTGTACATTTTAAGACATGCAGTGTCATAAGGGAGGACCACCATTCTGTGCCTCAGTTTTATCTAGGAGAATACTTCTAAATTTCAGAATATAATGGTACCCTAATTCCTCTGGAAGCAAAAGAAGGCCTAAGAAGGCCTAGCTCGTTCACCCTTGAGGCATCCTTTCTAAGGACTGCAGCGAGTGAACAACCTGCATTTATTCGTGTGCTTCACTTGTAGTGCAAACACATAGGGCCCTTGGACCCCGTTCCATACAGGCCCCAAACTTGGACCCTGTTACATCCAAACCCTGGACTATTTACCATTATCCATTTCCCCAGATATGTAAATAATGGTCTTGTGTGCATACCCGAAGTAAATGTTACCTAGGACAGTGCATGAGCTACAAGAAACAATTAACTTGCAGCAAATGTACTGACCATATTCAAAGAGAACCTTGGCATTTCTCACGTACCAGCGACTCTGCACGTCTGTGGGAGGTGACATCTGTTAATGAGTCAGTAGAAGCATTGGAATCAACGTGGCTCTTCTACAAGGAGTGTGCCTGTCCACGCCTCAGAAAACACATTTCTAAACTGCACGCTGCCTTGAAAGAGCGGGGAAACTTTTCCACAGTGGAATTGGACTAATGGTGCTTATTTTTCTTCAGTGTGTATATTTATTTGACTGTTTCACACCATTTGTCAATTGCTAAGCAGTTAATAATTTTTACGCTTCTTTCAGATGTGTGTATACAGTACAAGTGTGTTTGATTTCCTGTGGTCTCTCTACATTTAAACAGTGCTGAGTGATGCTGTGTGTAACATGCCAATGTAAAATTTCAAACCCTAAACTGAAGTTTCATTCTTTAGCAAAAACCCTTCAACTGCTTCCATAGCATGTGCTCGTCTCCCTTCTGCAGCAGCCCAGGATTCTGTCTAGGTTTTAATGCTGGGAGTGTCAGCTCTCCCCACCATACAGCACTGAGGTTCTCCAGCTCTTTACATCCCCTGTGGGAAGATTAAAATATGCAACTGTTAACTCAGGAGAGAATGATATGCCGGGAGAGAGGTGGGCAGTTTGGGGAGTGATTTTAAAGAACAAAGATACTACTTCTGAATGGCTGTTTGGGATCGTTTTCTGAAAGATGTCTTGGGAGCCTGGCCTTGGATGGGTGGGTATTTTGGACTACAAGTGGCAGGAAGAAGGAATGTCCCTGCACTAGGAGTGAATAGGGTTGGGGCCTTTCTGATCGGGTCTTCACCCTGGCCGTTTGGGAGCCAGTGGTGAATTCTAAGGGTGTGCAGGCAGGTCTTGTGATTTAGGAACCAGCCATATAGAGAGGCTTGACTGAGAGACACCAGGCCCTTAAGTGAGAGCTGGCCAGTGTTTATATCAGCTCAGCAATATGAAGAATCTTTGTGATTCCACCTAAAAAAATCCCTATGCTTCACTTTTAGGACTCAGCTTTTCCAAGCATCTTAAGTGGTATCTGAAAGTCCAAATGGGGTGACCCAACACTGAATTATGTCTTTGAGAGGCCTTTTAAAAATTGTGTAAATACAGGGCCTCCCCGGTGGCGCAGCGATTGAGCGCTGGGTTGCGAAGCTGTCCGCAGCCTCTGCAGCGCCGGTTCGATCCCCGGCTGCTCCTCAGCCACCGGAGGAGGGTCCCGCATGGCGCCCAGACCTCTCCTGCCGCCCGCTGCTCCCCTCAGCAGTGTACCTCGGTCCTTCTGCCTGCTCTGCTCCCCGCTCTGGTTCTGGTGAATTCTCTCACCCTCCGGCGCTTCTGACTGTACCCAGTGCTTGCATCATTAAATAAATAAATATTTTTAAAAAATTGTGTAAATACATATGACATAAAACTTACCATCTTAACTAGTTTTTTTAAAAACATTTTAAAAGGACAGGTTAATTAGGAAAAGGAAAAAGAAAAAGGCACCTGCATAGACACGGGGGGCAGTCTCAGGAGGAAAGTGGCCCCATCTGAACCAGTTTCAAGTGCACAGCTCAGTGGCGCTAAGCTCATTCACAGCACCATCACCACCATCCACCTTTGGAGCTTCTTCCTCTTCCTCGTATGAGCTCTGTCCCCATGAAACACTAACTGCACACTTCCTCCTCCCCAGCCCTTGGGACCCACCAGTCTACTCCGAGTCTCTCTGAATCTGACTATTCCAGGTTGCATGTTCCTGGGGGCAGTGGTCGGCGTCTGGTGTCTGGCTGTGTCACTGAGCACAGTGTCCTCAGAATTCCCCCAGGGGCAGCAGGGGTTGGATCGCCTTCCTTTCCAAGCTGTGCATATTCCATTGCATATATGTCTCTTTCTGACTGGCTGTGATACCGCAAACCCAGGTCCAGCAGGAGATGTATTATTGTCACATCCGTCACTGCACCATTCCTAACCCATTCCCCACCCGGGGCCCAGCCAAGGCTGGGTGGGGGGGTGGTTTGGGGGGGGTTGGTGAGAGTGTGAAAGCAAAAGCAAATGGGAAGAGACTGGTCAGGGATATGGAGAAGGGGGTGTGGGAGCCCGGTGATTTTCTAGGGTGTTAGCCACACCTGCCCTTCCTTCGCCTGGGATTTAGAGTCTGGGGTGCCTCCTTGGTGCTGTGCTCTCACTTGAGTGTTCAGGCCCAGTAGACCAGATCTGTTCTTTGTGTGTGATGAATTTGAAGGGGCCGACTCCCACTCTGGGGGGGTGGAGTTGCTATTATTAAAAAATTTGCTGCTTCTGTCTGTATTTGTTCCATGGATGACTGCCAGAGTGTCCGGGAATTGGGGGGTATGGAGGAGGGGATAAGTCACTTAAGAAATTCTCCAATTCTGAATTTATTCAAAATTACCAGGGTCCATTTCTGAAGGGCAACATGCTGATGCTGGCTACAGATGTGTTTTATTTTGCGAAGCACAGTCCTCATTTCTCTCTCCCTCCCTGATGTAGCTCAGGGCTCCTTCACTTACACATTTGTTTCATCTTCTGTATTGCAAAGCATTTGTATTTTGCTGTTCTTGGGATAAATTTAAGAATCACTTTTACTATTGCTTCAAATCTGATGCCACAAAAGCCCTTTAGAAGTTACCATAACACTGCATCCCTCAAGGTTTTCCATCAACAGTGAACCATTTGCTGGAGCATTATCTTTTTTGCATGAATGCAAATTAAGTGAAACCTCCTGAAGCTAATTCTCATTTAATGTGTGTACTGTGTTCTTTTCCTAGGGGAGGTGGAGGGTTCTGATTTGAATGACGCTTTGGGACAACTGGATGGACAAGACAGCCCTGTGCCAACTCTGAAAGGTAAACTGTGAAGTGCTCTTTGAATGCAAGTTTTTTTTAAAGATTTATTTATTTATGCACACAAGAACTGGGATACAGGCCAGAGGTACAGGGGATGAGAGGATTCACTAGACACAGAGTGGGGAACACAACAGGCAGACTGAAACACACTGCTGAGGGGAGCAGCGGGCAAGATAGGAGAGGTCTGCTGCGCCATGTGGGTTTCTCCCTGGCAGGCCGGGGATCGAACTCGGCTGCAGAGGCTGCGGATAGCTTCACAGTGCTGTGCTTAACCCTTTGTGCCACCAGGGAGGCCCCTGAATGTAAGTTTTTGAAAGTGAGTTCAGAGACCATGTAAAGAGGCTCACAGCTGGCTGGCAGAATTGATGCCTGGAGCCCTGTGACCAGGGCTGGTGGTGGCATGGAGGTGCGCCTGCCTTCATAGCTGTGTCTCTTTATGCACCTGCGAGGGTGCAGAAGGCTGGTTGGAGCCATTCGAAAGGTCAGATGGGAGGTGACTAGAAAAGGTAGGCAGAGAAGGGGAGGAAGGGGCCCTGGGCTGCTTTGTGGGCCTGAGCAGAGCCTTAGGAGCTAGACTCCTGTCTTGGTGACTAAGTGTCCTGTGACAAGCAGGCGTCTTCTGGGGTCAATTTGTCCAGGGTGAATGGGCACTCACGGTGTGAGTGCTGCCACCAGGAGCTGCAATTTTGGTTCTTTGTCTTGTTGCTGGGCGTTTCCCACAGGTTCCCTGTCAGGGCTATGCTCACTCTCATACTTTGGCGGCACCTGAAATAGCAGAGGTGAGGGATCACGTTTCGTTCCATGCAGCTCAGTTACTCGGGGAGGAAGCAGGGTCTTTTCCTGCTTTGGCTCCTTACATTATTGCCTTAGATTATTGCCTGTGTTGGCTCATGCTGCCAAAACAAAACCCTACAGACAAATAGCAACAGGAAGTTATTTCTGTTGAATTGACTGGAAGTTCAAGATTAAGGTGCTGATATGGTTGGTTGTTGGTGAGGACTCTCTTCCTGGCTTGCTGTTGGCTGCCTTCCAGTGTGCTCGCAAGGTGAAGAGAGGGAGCCCATTCTAGCCCACCCCTCTCCTCTTCTTATAAGGGCACACATCTCGTCAGGGGGCCCATCCTAACGACCTCATCTAACTCTAACCCCCTCCCAAAGACCCCACTCTCTAGTTCCATCACACTGGGGTTAGGACTACAAGATGACCTAACATGGTAGGGGGTTAACATGGCAGGGGTGCATAATTCAGTGCATGACACTGGGGTAGCAGAGTAGCTACTTCATTTCTGCTTTGCTTCATTTTCTAAAGCCGAGTCAGAGCCCAGTGGCCCATGAGAATTCCTTAGTTCCATGCACATGTTAGCTGCCCTGCCCCCCTCAGGAACGTGTCCATCTCTGGGCCACAGGCCAGGTCTTTTGGGATTGAGTGTTGGTGACTCAAGCCCACTGGTCCTGGCCTGGGTGCCCAGAGCATCCCTCTGTGTCCTGAGAGAGTATATTGGGGTCACCCTGGGTGCTGAGCTCCCTCTGACTCTGTGTTGACGGCGTGAGTGCCTTTGGCTTAAATTTCTGTTGGATGCACTCCCCTGTGGTTGGTTTCACTGGTGCCTGAACTCCCTTGACAACATTCTCTTCTCTAATGTGTTAAATGCAGTAAATAAGTTCGTGCATTTCTTTACATCAGCATGCATGTTCCTGTGTGCTTGCTGGAGCCTTGCAAGGACCCTGGTTGCTTGTCCTCTCTTAGGACAGGGATGTGTCCCCAGGACTTGAAGGTCTCTGCTCTGAAGAGTTGGGCCTAGGAAACATTTCTTAGAAAGATGATTTTTGATGGTTAGGTTCTGAAATCATTTTTCAAATGTCCATCTCAGCCTGCAGTCCTGAAGGCCCACACATGTGGCCCCTGGTCCTGCCCACACTGGTGATGAAGCAAGTGAGGTCTTTACCTGGAAGAGCTTACCGGATTGGGGAGGCGGAACATAAGGGGAAACAGTCAAGTCATTATAATATTAGGAACTGAAGTGAGTAACCCCAGGGAGAGGTCAGGTCATGGTGAACTGAAAGGAAAGGAAGAATGTCTTGTTCGGGGACAAGCATGCACTGAGATCTGAGCAGCAGGCACTCAACCAAAAGAAGGTGGAGGGAAAAGTATCCCAGATCAAAGCAGTGGCCTGTGCAGCGGCCTGGACAACTGCGAGAAGGTGGTGGCTGATGGACCTAGAGTGACTGAGGTCCGCGTGGCTAAATCTGCTCTCCTTCTTGGTCCTGCTAATTATATTTCAAGCACACATATGGCTCAAGCCATGATGATGGGCAGTGCAGGTCCAGAACATTCCATCGTCACAGAAAGGTCCACTGGGCAGCCCTGGGTAGAGCCTACACAGCTTCTTGGATGGCAAGGAAGGTTCTATTTCTAGTGCTGTGACATGGTGTAACCTGATTCACTCTCTGGCGGCCCTGGAGGGTGATGGGGGAAGCGGAGGGGGCAGCTTGAAGAAGGTGGGCCAGGTGAAGAGAAGTGGACATGAAGCAGGGCCCCCAAAATTATTAGACCTAGCCCTGCTGTGCTGAAGGGTATCAGGTGCATTTGCCGCTGGCCCCACTGAGGCAGGCTCTGGTGGTGGTTCCTTGTGGCCCTCCAGCCTAGTTGCCTACCCTGACCTCAGTGCAAGTCAGAGGCAGAGGCCAGGCTCCCTTTTATGTCAGGCTCCAGGCTATTGGAATAAGCTTGAGAATGGACCAGTTTGACTGGAGCTTGACTAACATCTATCAAATATCTGGGATGGGCACCCCTCCTCACAGTGTTCAGCTATGCAAATATAGAAATATAGGATTGTAAATTGACCAGTCTGATTGAAGCTCTCTTGGGTACCTATCAACTAAAAATACCAATTAGATTCGAGAGTCAGAGTTCTTTTCTAGCTCAGAAGCACTCCCTGCAGAGCTGCACAAACCTCTCTAGAATAGGGGAAGAGCCAACAGGCAGGACCGTGGAGAATTTGGCCTCCTCAAGCTACCTGGCACCCCAGAGCCTGAGAGAACAGAAGTCTTCCTTTTTAATTACCCTGAAGAGTTTTCCTTGCTCACAGAGGCCAGTGGGTCCTGTCTCCCCAGGGCCAGCCTAGGCCTGCACTCTGCTCACCCCTAAACTCTGGATGGCATAAATGAGTCCCAGCATGACAACACACCAAAGGCTCTTCCTTCAACACAGTTATCATTTATGATGCCCATACACCTGTAAAATTGAGGCTGTAAAAGTGACATCCCACCAATCTGTTGTGATATGACTGCTCTACCTTGGTCCAAGCAAAACAAGATCGAGAATGAACTACAAGCTGTACAGCAGCATCCGTGCTCAGCTGCCTTGCGCTGGTAGTGAGCACTTACCACGTAGCTGGTGGCTGGCATTGAGAGTTGAGAGCAAAAGGCATATACTAAAGAGAAAATGAACAAAGAACATTGATTTACAACTGAAAAGTTTGCCTGACGTGTCCATCTGCCAAGATACTGTCATTGTGAGGACTGATGTGGCTGCAGGACTTGGGTTGCAGTGCTGGGTGAATATGGGAGCGAAGCTAGATCTGGGGTTTTGTATTCCCTGCTACATTAGACACACTAATTATTATCATTGTTCTTATTATACAAAAGCTTACGTGTGCCTAGAAATCATTTGCTCATTTGTTCCAAGACTGTATTTTAAATGCATATGTAGCACATCTTGGGTTTTGTATAATCAGAACAGTCCTTTGGAATGTTCATGGGAATTGGTAATTTCTGAGAGCCAGGATGGATTGTTCTGGTCTTGCTCATTTGCAGCTCCCAATATGGGCCCAGTGTGCTTGTATCCCTGCCCGAGGAGACGAGTTACCTATCATCCACACTGAGACCAGAAGAATTCCTACCTCTGCATAGAAATCTATTCCTTACTCACAGACGGTCCTGCTATTTGTGATGTGGCGTGCTTTAGTGCTGAACTAAAATTTTCCTGGACAGAAAATGCAAAGCCGTCAGCAGAATTCACTATATTGGTATGGAGACGATGCCTGGTCTGTTTACTGAGCTTTGGGTTCCTGATTCATACAGGGTGCATGGATTGATTAGCATGTATGCTGCATGTGTCTCTGGTTTATTTTGGACCTCTTGGTGAGTGTGTGTGTGCATGCGCGTATGTGTGTCCTAGAATTTACTAGAGTGATGGCCCCAGGCTGATGAGGTAAAATCAAAAACAGCTGCCTCATTGCAGCACTAAGTCTGTGAATCTGTACCTCCCTCTGATGCCCCCTCGCTCATCAGTGAAATCTGAGGCTGCCCATCCTGTGGACAGAGGGCCGGGCATGTGTTCTAGTCTCTTTTGGCAACACTGATGGGCGTTCCAGGCTCTGGGCCCTGTGCCTTTCTCAAGGCCATCACCAAGCACTCCTATCTCTGTGGGCCTTGGATTTGCAGAGCCTGATGGGCTGTGCGGGATCTGGACAAAGTGAATGAACAGTGTTGGAAAAAAATGCCAACCGCAGATGAATATTTTCAAGCCGTGTGCAGTCATGTTGGGGAGGCCTGAGGTTGGGCAACAGGGGTCACATACGTTGGAGCCCATCCGGGGAAGGCAGGAACAATCTGTTTCCAGGAACAGTGATACTGAGTTCTGCCTGCAAACCTTTTTATTCCTTTTCTTAGAGGCCCTCCCCCAAATCCTCTCCTGTCTCCCAGGTAGAGCTCCTGGCCTTCTGCGCTTCACTGGGCCAGAGCCTCTGTACTTGTGACCATTGTCATCTGACTGGAGTTGCCGTTCACTCTTCCTGTTGGAGGTGACTGAAAGGTGGTGATTCTCCTCCCTCCACTCATTGTTTTGAACCCCAAACTGCAATGGGCTTATTCCTGTGTGTTTGTCTCGTGTCTGTCCCTGGCACCTTCACAGGTTCTGGGATTAGGGCTCCAACATATCTTCTTGGGCACACAGTTTCCTTTGCTCCAAATATTGCAACACTCTGAAGTACTTTTAACCTTTTCTCATGTCCTTGAATTCCTCTTTCACTGTGTTCCTTATTTCCTCTGATTTCATCCCATTCTATTCCACACTAATCTCACACCCCTTTCTCCTGCTCCCTGCACTAAGCCTGCTGCCCGAGCACTGCCAGCTCAGTGGGCAGTTTGAATGGAGTGGCCCCTGCCACTGCCCTGACCAATTAATGGACTGTGAATATTTCCCCTTGGGGAGAGTGGCTTTGTTTCCTCCTCACCTGCCCTTTCAGGAAAGCTGTTTTATTTCCCACCAATCAATCGCCCGGGACCTCATGACCCCTAGTCGAAGGCTTTCTTTATCTCCTTCCCAGGCCAGCCGGTTTGACCGGTGCAAACAGCAGGTCCTCAAATACCTCAGTAATTTGACCAACTGGTGATCCGTGCATGGTCCAGTGGGGTCAAGAAATCATTAATCACGGCTCTGGTTGTGAGGAGGAGCAGTTCCCTGGTAACAGGGAGTCCTGTTTCCTCAGCCTTTGGTGTGTTGTCATGCTGGGACTCATTTGTGCCACCCAGAGTTCAGGGGTGAGCAGAGTGCAGGCCTAGGTCGGCGCAGGGGAGACAAGACCCACTGGCCTCTGTGAGCAAGGAAAACTCTTCAGCGTAATTAAAAAGGAAGACTTCTGTTCTCTCTCAGGCTCTGGGGCACCAGCTAGCATGAGGAGGCTGAATTCTCTGCAGTCCTGGTGGCTCTTTCCCTGTTCCATCATGTCTGGAGGGGTTTGTGCAGCTCTGCAGGAAGTGTTTCTGAGCTAGAGGAGAACTTACTAGCAAATGATTACTACAAGCTCCATATTTTGTACCCAGGGTGGGAGTGAAGCCCAGAGAGGTTAAATGGGCCTCTAAATTAAATCTGCAGGAGAAGGTGGTGGTGTTCTTCATCTGCATGGAGTTTTCTTTCTAGCTTTCATTTTGACCCTCGGAGAATTAGTAATGGTGAAAATGGTGGGCCAGACTAATTTGGCAGCCTGCCACTTAAACGACATGCAAATACTCAATAAAATATTAACAAAAGATGTGAATGCTTGGATAAACTTGCAGGAGGGGTGGAGAAATGCCCAGGCACCAGCAATAGGAAGGAAACAGCACTCTGACAGCCTGGGCTGCTGAGCCAGGAACCCCTTGAGATGGTTTGTAGCCTTGAAAAATGGCATAATTTTCCCAGAAAGTTCATCTCAGGTTAAGCGTTGGGTCTGCGGTTATGACATGAAGTACCCAGCTGTGAACGGTGACTTCACCATGTGGTCATGGAGCACCTGCGAATGTATCCATGGACCCCAGTGTAGAAAGAGCACCCGTAGACGTGGTGCAGGCACGAGGGCAGCTGAAGACATGTCAAATCCTCCAACTCTTTGATGCTGGAATTACCCCCAGAACACACAGCTTGACTAGAAGAAATCCCCAGGGATAGGAAAATGCTGGTGGGGGTTATATGAAATAAATACTGTGGAGTTATTGATTTCACTTGGATTTGGATGCTTTGTGTTTCCTTCAGTGAGGAGAAGTGAGGGATTAGAATTAAAATATGAAGTTTGGTTTTAAGAAAGTAAAGGACTTTACATTTATTATTCCCTAATTCAAGGCCTGTAAAATATTGTTCCTGTGACAGACGCTATTCTGCTCAGCTCAGCTGCATTAAGAATGATGGATTTTGGGGGCCTCCCCGGTGGCGCAGCGGTTGAGCGCTGGGTTGCGAAGCTGCGCGCGGCCTCTGCGGCGCCGGTTCGATCCCCGGCTGCTCCCCGGCCACCGGAGGAGGGTCCCACATGGCGCGCAGACCTCTCCTGCCGCCCGCTGCTCCCCTCAGCAGTGTACTTCGGTCCTTCTGCCTGCTCTGCTCCCCGCTCTGGCTCTGGTGAATTCTCTCACCCTCCCGCGCTTCTGACTGTACCCAGTGCATGTATAAACAAAACAAACAAAGAAACCAGCAAAACAAATAAATAAAGCATGCCTCTATTAAAAAAAAAAAAAAAAAAAAAAGAATGATGGATTTTGGTGTCAACCCAGTTGGGAGCCTGTGAGTCCAGAGAATTGGGGTATTATAGATAAGCTAGGGGCTATAGTCCTGAGAGAGGGGTGGTGGTCACACTTCAGGCCAGGGAGGTGGGAAGAGGATTTCCCTCAACTCTCACTCATCGGAATAGGTTTTCCCATGAAAAGTCAAACTTGGCTCCACACCCCAGGAAACAAAATCTACTTTATAAGAATGCTGTGGGAGGACCCCAGATGCAGAGTTAACATGAAAACTTGGCACTGCTTGTTGCAGGAACCCACTCTTCAATGATTCCCACAGAAAGCCAGATGTACAATGAGAAATTCCAAAACTCACTCAGAGAAGCCCAGGATGAGTGGTGGATTAGTAAACAATGAAGCCAAAGGATTAAAGATAAAGGAAGAAATGGAAACCACATGGAAGAAAAAAGCAGTAATGGATTTAAACAGGATCCAGAGACCTTCTAGAAGTATAGAACGTGGTCTGTGAATTAGAAGCTTGATGGACAAGTTAAGGAGTAGATGGCATATATGTAAAAAGGGAAAAAAAGACAGGGAATATAAAAATAGGCATAGCTCACTGAGGAGTCACATAAAAATGTTCAGCATATACCTTGAAGGAAATTTCCAGGGAGGAAATAAAGAGGAAGGGGGAGATCATTATTGATGTCTCTCAATATTGATGTTGATAAAGAATTATACAGTTGTGAGGAATAGCACTACAGGCCAAGGATGCTTAAATGAAAATAAGTTCACAGAAGGTCATACTTTGGAATGGCAAAAATTAAGGGAAAATGTGAAAAGTTTCTTAAGAGGAAAAAGGTTGACTTTCCTACAAAGGAGTAAAAACTTACAGATTTGCAATTCTAACCACAAAACCAGAGACAGTAGTATGATTGACAGTCTAGAATTCTGTACCCAGCTAAACAACTATTCAAGTGTAAAGGCAACAGGTATTTACAATCCAAGAAGGACTCAAGATTGTTGACAACCTCATCCCCCTTTACTCAAAGAACATATGCGCTTCAGAATAAGCTCAGTTGAACCTTGGAGGGAGGTGTGGGATGCAAGCAGTGTTGTCAAGTAAAGGACTTGGTAAACAGGTGGGCAAAGCTGAATAAACTCTGAAAGTGAAAATCACTTGGGGTTTGAATGCAGAGAGGAACTAAACACTTGAAAGCAATAACTCGAAGCTGTCATGGCTTGGGTATGATTGGTCTCATGAACTGCCAGTAGAGCTTGAAAGAGGCTGATTGAAGGATTGGGTTGAGACACTATGGAGATTTTGTCCTGTCCATTCCCAGCTGGACAGCCCTTTTACATACATGCCATTGCATGTGAAACCATTTCAGGTTCCACTGACCATCCAGAACATTCTTCCAGACCTAGGGATCCCCTCCAGCAATGCTTCTTCTCTTTGTAGTTTCTGGTTGCTCTAAATTCATTCTGGGTTTTGGTTTACTGAAATGACAGCTTTTTATCCTTAGCTCTTTAAAGCTGGTGTTCTCAGGTTATGGTGAAAATGCTGTGACGAGAGCTCGCAGGAACCTAGCTCTGGGTTTCTCCAAAAGAAACAGCTCCATAGTCACTAATTCAGCCTTGGCTGCAACACGCCAGGACTTGATTCCTGCCAGTAACAAGAATGGGCTGTCAAATGAGAACATCAAAACTTCCCTGAGCAGCCCTGAAGCCCTTCCCGCCCTCACTGAGGTTTGCTCTTTTGTGATCATTCCTCTTTGCAGGTTACTTTCTGAATTTTCTGGAACCAGTGAACAATATCACTATAGTCCAGGGTCAGACAGCAATTCTGCACTGCAAGGTGGCTGGGAACCCACCCCCCAGCGTGCGGTGGCTGAAGAATGATGCCCCAGTCGTACAGGAGCCCAGGCGTGTCATCATCCGGAAAACAGAATATGGCTCTCGACTACGCATTCAGGACCTGGACACCACCGACACTGGCTACTACCAGTGTGTGGCCACCAACGGGGTGAAGACCATCACAGCCACTGGTGTCTTGTTTGTGCGACTGGGTGAGTCGGGGCAGCCCAGGAAGATTGGTTAACAGATGTCTTCACAGCCAAGTGGGAGACTCACTGCAGTTTGAAACCGAACACACACAAACCAGCAGAGAGGAAAGCAATGAAAAGTGTTCCTGAGGCCTCTCCATTGTGTGCGAGGTCCCAGCTTAACTTGTTAGCATTTGATAGTAATTAAAAAAAAAAAAAGAAAAACAGACACAGATGCAGGGGTTCTGTAAACCTGGAGTGCAGACGCTGAGGGTGATTTGAAAGGTCAAATGTCAGGAGGCCATCTCCAAAGGGAGACTGTCCACATCTCAAGACAGCCAGGTCCCAGGGCCTGAGTCTAGCCTCAAGGCCTTACTTACAGGCCTGGACAGATGGGGACAGGCACCTACAGAAACTAGACACAACTAGAGGGAATTAGAGCGTGATGACAGTTCTGTCCTTTGTGCTGTCATAGCTCTGCCTGTCACAGGTGTTTGTCTCAGGTGTGCTTGTCATAGGTGTGCTTGTGAAGGCAATGGCACAATTAAGTGACATGAGGGGATGCTTTCCCTGTCATCCCAGCTGTGAGAAGCTCCCTGAAATGCCCCCATCCTGTCACACAACCCCCCAACCACTCCATCACCAATTAGTAAAAGACCTTGTGTATCAAGGTTAGATGAGAAGAGAAAAGACAGTAAGACTCCAGAAATATCTCCATAAGTTCCTCCAGAAACAGCGTTTCTTTGTGGTTTTTGCCTTCCTTGGCATACATAATCATGGGCAGGGGCAGAGCCTGGGCCCGAGGACAGCTTGCCACAAATTAGTGCCCTGGCTGTGGCTGCCTTCACCGTTGGCTGGCTGAATTGGAATTAAGTCTTATTCCAAATCATGAAGTATTAATAACTTGTCTTTTTGTTTTATCTCTTTAGGTCCAACACACAGCCCAAATCATAACTTTCAGTAAGTATCTGCTTTCCCTAAACCCTGTTCTCAGTCTCTGAGGGTTTCTGTTATGTAAGAATCCTGGTTTTAAATCTGGAAATGCATGTCTCTGCCATATTTTCTAGAAATTGGCGGGGCTTCACACAAGGATGGCCATGTGCTTGGTTGGGCTGGAAAATGATTATACTTTCCATCTTTAGTGCAAGGGAAAATGTCATAAGACAGACATTGTTAGTTCCTTACAGGGTGACCAGAAGGACAGCAGACACGTGGACCAGGTATGTAGTGGGTGTTACTGTTAGGTTCGTTTAAGTACACCCTGTTATCTTAACACAGTGATAAAATTACTTGACAGTGATTTCTCAGAATATGTGCCTGTTGCTAAGTAACACATGAATGTGTGTTTTCATTTCTCTTAGGTAAATTCCTGGGACTAGAATTGCTGGCTTACTCGGCTGTATGTTAGCTGAGTAACAAGTGGCACTCCCTTTTCTAAGGTGGTCATAACAGCTGGCATCTTGGCATGTTCTGGTCACTGCTGGCATTTGGTCTGGTTGTTCTTCTTCATGTGGTACCATTCTGGAGTGTATGTGGAGGTTCAGGTGAAACTTTATGTCATAAGCTTCTTGGAAAAGTAATTTTTATTAGTCATTTAAAATTTTGAGACACGTGTTTAGGACTATAAAATTTCATCTGAATACCATTTTGGCTACATCCTTACCTCCCCACCATGTAAAGGCTTTTATTTTTTTGTTACTTTCTGATATTTGTTGCACTGTTGTCAATGAATTGGGAGGTAGTTTGCTTTTGGTGATTTTTTGAAATTTTCATTGTGGTCAGTTTTTGTGAATATTTCCTGTTATTTCAAAAAGTGTGCAATTTCTCGATACATATGTTAATTAGATCATGTATGTTAAAGTGTGTAGGTCAAGTTGTGCTGTTAAAAGTGTCTATTTTTTGTTGTCCACATGGGTTACAGATATCAGCATTTGATATCATACTCATTCTGAATTTGTCAATTTCTGTCAGTTTTAAATTTTTAAGTTTTTGATGTATATTCATAAGTATCTAGAGGCGTGGGGCGCTGTAGTTTTATTTTCATCTCCCTTCCTTTGAAAATTTTTGCCTTGAATTTAGTTTTGCCGAACAATATTTTTTTGGAGAATTACTTTTTTTCACATTGTGTGTTGATATATATTTTAATTTTTTTCAATTGATGTAATGTTGATTAACAACACTGTATATGCCTGTTATTTGTATTTTCCAGGGGCCTCCTTTACTCCGCTTGTCCCACTTTTCTTTTTCCAACCTTTTTTTTGTGTTCTGTTTTATGTCAGTCTCTCGTGAATAGCATGTAAGTTGATGTTTTTGTAAATTTGGTGAGGTGGGTTTTCCAGTGTGGAAGACATGTTAATACATGTAGGTTAAGTTCATTTTAACAAACATGCAATATTCCATTCTATGATTCAATTTGTGTGCCTACTGAGTGAAGTTTAGTTGTTTTTACTGATACAAACCTTCTGAGGAAAATGTCTGCCCATATCCCCTTGACCTACGGGTGAGAGGGACAGAGATCGGGGAGTAGAGTTGCCACATCTCTCCCAGGCATGGCCGGTTGCTCTCCAGAACAGCTAGGGAATTTGTCATCCCACCAACAAAGCACAGCTCTTATTTCCCTCTGTTTTTCTGCACATTCTATTGTTAGAACTTCAGATTTTGCCAATATCTTGGGTGTCAAGTAGTAATTTATGGTAATTGTACTTCAGATTTATCAGTAAATAGTGAGGTTGAACATATAACATTTAACCCATGAATCTCCAGTTCATTACATTCTGTATTCATTTTTTATAGATTCCATGTTTGCAAATTCATTTACTTACAAAAATTTATCTGTAACCCCCCAAATCAGTACTCAGGGTGTTTTCACAGTCCCTCACAGACTTTTGTAGAGCAACAAAAAAAATATGGTCACACGGTGCACACATTCTTAGTGAGGTCAAACAAGGAGACACTCTACTTTCTCCTTTCAGCTCATACTATAAACACGTGTCCTTTTCACACTTTTGGTGCTTTTTCTTGCTGATTTCGCTGTTTGCAAAGGCTCCAAGCACAGTGCTGAAGTGGTGTCTAGTGTTTTTTTTTTTTTTTTGAAGATTTATTTATTTATGCATACATGAACTGGGGTACAGGCTAGAGATGTGGGGGGTGAGAGGATCCACCAGAGACAGGGTGGGGAACAGAACAGGCAGATTGGCTGAAATACACTGCCGAGGGGAGCAGTGGGCAAGACAGGAGAGGTCTGCTGTGCCATGTGGGTATCTCCCTGGCCGGGGATAGAACTTGTGCTGCAGTGGCTGTGGGTAACTTCATAGGTTAGGTTGCTTCTTTACCCCTTGTGCCATCAGGGAGGCCCATGTCTAGTGTTCTTAAGCATAAGAAGGCTATGGTGATCCTTTTACAGAAAACACATGTGTTAAATGAGCTTCGTGTAGGCTTTTGAGGGCTCACTGTTAATGAATCACCAACATTCATTACATAAGGTGTCTTAACAGAAACATAACTAAGTAAAGTTATGTACTGAGCAATTGATGAAAATGTTATCACCCCAGCCTTATATTTTCCCCAGGAGCAGTGGGTCAGGATTTTCTAATTCAGTATTTGTGGTGACTTTGTAGATAATAACTACCACAAATAAGCAGAATCTACTGTATTGTGTCCCTTTTTCCATTACAATATTTGTCTTTTTGTTATTGATTTGCACATTTTAAGATATGTTCTAGATGTAATTTTTTACATAGTTTTGTCTCCATCTGCAATTGATTTTTCATACAGATAAAAGTAGGGTTCAATTACAATATTTTTCTCTATAAGTGACTTACTGCCTTGGCACATCTCATGAAAAGCCACATCTATAGTCAATAAATTTAATGTTACTTCTGTTATAATGTAGACTTTCTGGACAAGTGGATCTACTTGTGGGCTCTCTATTTTGTTCACAGAGCTTCTGCTCATGAATAATACCAAAGTGTTCTAGTAGTATAACTTTAATAGATCTTGTCATATGATGAGAAGTATTTTCACCTACTATTATAGATTCAGTGTTCCCCCAAATTCATATGTTGAAGTTTTAACCCACAATGTGACTGAATATCTGGAATGGGCCTTTATGGAACTGATAAAGTTTAAATGAGTTCTTAAGAGTAGGGCCCTGATCTAGTAGGACTGATGTGTCCTTATAAAATGAGGAGAAACAGTAAAGAACTCTCTCCCTCTTGGGCATATGGTGATACAGAGAGAAGGTGGCTGTCTGTAGACTAGAAACTGAATTGGTAGACACGTTGACACTTAACTTCCTAGTCTCTTGAGTGGAGAAATCAGTGTGTGTTGTTTATGTCACTCAGTCTGTGCTGTTTGTTACAGCAGCCTCAGTTAACTAATACATCTACCTTATTACTATATAGTTTTTCTAAAATGACATAACTGCTATTTGTCTTTTTGTCTTTTATATGAATTTTATTTTGGTATTTTTATTAGAATTGCATAGAAGTTTGATTTTTGCAGTTAGTTTTTCAGATACAATGATGATTTTCTCCTTTCAACATATTGATATTATGTCACATAATAGAGTTCCAGTTGTTGAGTAACTTTGCAGCTCTTGACTGAAGTCCACAGTCAGGGCGAGTATCCTTTCAGTGTGTTATTGAACTGACTTGATGGGATCCCTTGTGGCCTGAGGCACCAGCCTATTAGATTCATCTTTTTGTGACTCAGTGTTTTCTCCTCATTCATTGTGATTGTGTTCAAATGACCTGACCTCCACTCCCATGTATCATCTCTGGAAGTTACCCAAAGCATAAATAGAAAGAAGGTAGCTCAGTGATTTTTTAAATAGAATCTTCCAGAGGTCTCATGTCTGTCTCGGAACATCACCAGCTTTTTGTCAGTGTTACATATTGTAGTTAAAACCATTTCCTCTTTCGCCCTGTGGTGGACCCTGTAGATGTACATGGAGAGTTGGAAAGCAAACATTAGGTGCCATGGTTGATGACTTTCTGTAGCATGATGCTGGGTATGCAGTGAGCTGATTCTTAAGTGTGACCTGGAATGGTTGTGGGACTCATGCCCTGCAAGCTCTTGGTTGTGGACCCTGGCATCAAGGTGGACATCAGCCTCTGTGTGTTGAGGGAAGTGGGGGTGGAAATCCTCGGAGGTTAAGGAATGTTTTGCCATCAAGACATTGTTTTTCCTTCCATTCATCTTAATGGGGGATGATGCTGTGTATATAGAGAACAAAAGCTTTAAGATGAGACTGTCTCCACAGATGCAGGTTCAAAGACGGGTTATTATAGCATGCTCAAGTAGCAGGTTAGTGATGGGAGAGGAGTGATGTGAGGCTACATGTCTCCCATTTCTTAGTGGTTTTCTTTTCTGCCCTTTAAAAAAGTGGTTCACTTTCACAATTATAGGCCCATACACAGGCTTGCATGCTGAGCTAGTGGGTAGCCTAGTGGTACAGCAGATGGGTGGGGTGGTGTAGGGTGGAGAGATGGTGCTTCTGGAGCCTGAGCATCAGAGCTTCTCTGTTTCCTATGCCCGTCTCACCGCCCACAAGTGTGGAGCCATAATATGCTCAGCAACAACATATAAAGGAAATGTTGCGGACAATTAAAAATTCTGTTAATTTTTAGCCTTGGTAAACCACCTTCTTTGGGGCCATGTCCTAAGCCTGTTTACTTTCTAACTTAACAAACCGCAGGTGATGCCAAGACTCTAGCCCTTCCCCACCCATGTGCTCATGACCATGGAATCTCCATTTCCAAATCTGACTTATTTCCCCATCTCCAGGCCCCCAAATTCAACCACATAATGGGCCTCTCCAGGAGATGACTCAAAGGCACCTCACACTTTGCATGTCTAAACGGAACTCACTAGGCCATTTTCTGCTTTAACCCCTCCCGTTGCTATTTTTGGGGAATTGTTATAAGTCTAGTTCAAACTTTATCCTAATTACAGGAAAA